GCTTCTTGATCTTCTTACCGGTCTGATTCTCCACCAATGTCTTCCACTGCTTGAACTTCATGAAAGCCTCACTTTTCTGCTTCATCATGAAAATCCAAGTAAATCTCGAATAATCATCAATAATAGACAGAAAATACCTGCTGCCTCCAATGGATTCAACTCGTGAAGGACCCCAACAGTCGGAGTGGAGGTAATCTAGTATCCCCTTCATCCGGTGGATACCCTTCTTGGGAAACTTACTGCGATGTAGCTTCCCAAACACACAATGCTCGCAGAATTCCAAATTCTGCATCTTGTGCCCGCAAAGAAGATCCCTCTTCGATAGAACTTGCATCCCCCGTTCACTCATATGCCCCAATCTCATGTGCCAGAGAGTGGTCATATCTTACTGATGAACCTGAGACGATGCAACTGCAGCAGACCCAGACAACACAGACTCTTGTAATGCATACAAGGTCCCACGTTTCACGCCCTTCAGCACCTTCCTTGAACCTTTGCAGACATACACAACTCCACCTTTTCCTTTGAAACTGAAACCCTTGCTGTCGAGTAGACTCAAGGAGATCAGGTTCTTTGTCATTCGTGGAACATGCCTGACATCATTCACAGTACAGAACGAACCATCATGTGTCCGAACCTTCATGGACCGGATTCCAACAACCTTGCAGACAGCTCCATTAGCCATGACCACGTTACCACCATCTATCTGCTCATAGGTTGTGAAGCAATCCCTGTTCGGAGACATATGGTATGAGGCTGCAGTATCCAGAAATCACACATCCCCACGATGTGCCTTCTCATCTACAGCCAAGGCGAGATCGTCTTCAGAACTGTTGTCCACTTCTGCCACGGCAACTGAACCTTGTTTCTTCTGTTGCCCTCTTCTCTTGGGACAGTTGTACTTCCAATGCCCCACTTCCTTACAGTTGTGACAAGCATCACCTGGCTGTGGACCGGGACCCTTGGAATTCTTGTTTGAATTCCCTTTACCAGATTTCTTCGTTCCCTTTCCACCTGCAACAGCCAAACCCGATGCCTCACCACCTGTACCAGATCCAGACGCCTTATGCCTGATCTCTCTCGTATGAAGAGCAGACCTGACATCCTCCAACGACACACTTTCTTTACCAGCAATAAAAGAATCAACGAAATTCTCATATGAACTTGGCAAAGAAACCAGTAGGATTAGGACGGCATCCTCGTCATCAACTTGAACATCTATATTACGCAGATCCAGCAAAATAGAGTTAAGATGTTCGAGATGTTCCCTCAAAGGCGTACCTTCTTGCATCCTCAAGCTGAACGACCGTTGCTTGAGATGCAGCTTGTTGGTTAGAGACTTAGTCATGTACAGACTCTCTAGTTTCAACCACAAGCCCGCGGCAGTCTTCTCAGCAGCGACTTCAATGATGACGTCATCAGACAACGATAGCATGATGGTCGAGTGGGCCTTCTCCTCCAGGGTATTCCACTCATCGTCATCGACCGCTGCCTTCTTCTGTTTCGCAGACAGCGGCCCCCACAACCCTTGTTGTGTTAATAAAGCCTGCATCTTGATCTGCCATATAGCGAAGCTGTTCTTCCCCGTGAACTTTTCGATCTTCATGTTCATGACGTCATTCTTCTGAATCGAAAACCCTAGCCTGATTTCCAGTCGCGGCTCTGATACCACTTGTTATAAACGCGCTGCTACGGATCAGGAAATTGCCGGAATCAACAAAGCAAGAATACGAAAACGAGAATCGAAAACACGACACACGATTTACGTGGTTCACTAACACGATGTGTGTTAGCTACGTCCACGGGCGAGAGAGAGTCAGTTTCACTATGTAGAGGAGATTACAGATTACAGAGGAGTATGAGAAGTATTTATAGTACTTCTCCATGTGGGTCTAAACCTAATCCAATCTGGCAAAGGAAACGGTTACAGACCAGGCCCAGAACCTGAACCCAAATAACATTGAGCCCGTTTACAGCGAGACCCCCGATTACCAGTCGTAGCGGCTGATAGTCCGATTCAAGTCACATCAACATATATATTTCATTAATTTCCTCTTATAACCCAAACATTCGTATATATAAATGGGTGAATTGCAAGTTTGGTCACCCATATTACTCATTTGTAACACTTTAGCCACTCGAATAAAAAACCCTTCAAGTCAGCCACCAATACTACACTTTTATATCATCTTTGGCCACTCGCCGTCTAATTCCGTTAAATCTGTCCTACGTTACGGTCAACAGTTATGTTTGACTGTTAAAATGCTGACGTTGCAATTAAAAAATATATAATAAAACATGATTATTTAAGAATTCCACCTCACAAAAGAGAGAAAGAGACCCAGCGGAGAAAGCAATTCGTTATCGCTTTCTTCCTCTTCATTTTCCCCTCTTTTCTTCAACAACGCTCCTTCTTCCAACCGGGAAAAAAACAAGCGCTCCATCTCTCTTCTTCTCCTTCTTCCACAGCGAATCGAGACCACTGTGGCAGCAGCATGGATCGACAACGGCGGAGGATGGGAAGGACTGACGATGGCGGAGGATGGCAATGATTGACGACAGCCGACGATCTGGGCGAAGACCGACACTGGACGACGATCTTGGCGAAGATTCGAAGAGATGGGCGAAGATCGGTGCTGGGCAACAATCTGGAAAATATCCGAGGATCTAGCTGAAGGCGAATCAATTGGAATTTTGTTTATGCTTTTTATCTTGATCTGATGTTTGGGGATGTGGGTTTTGTACACGAAGGTGAGAAGGGAAGGTGTATTAGGGAGACGAGCTGTATGGTGAGGAGGTGAACAGTAGAGGGGCGACAAGGCAGGGGATTCCGACTCTAGCGGCAGCAGATGAGGCAGATGAGGCAGGGGATTCAACCGTCGATAACGACTCCTTTGACTTGACTCTAGGGGGAACAAATGCGGCGGCTAAGGCAAGAGATTCAACACGGCGACAACGACGACTTGGGTTAGCTCTCGGTAGTTCTCAATCTGTGGCCAAATCACCCCGGAGATTTGGTTTACGCTTAGCTGCAACTCCTCCAGGAATCGATCCTTCTAGATTTTGTTAGACTGGGAACATAGAAGGGGAGATGATGGTGAACAATGGCCATGAAGGTGGCGGCGACTTTTGCTGCTGCTAATGTTAGGGCGGCAGATTGCCCGAGGAAGAAGTGTCTTGAGGGGAGAAAGAGAAGATAAGGGTTTTTTCATGAAAATATATTTTTTAAATTTTTATGAAAAATATATTTATTAAATTTTAGTATGACATGAAAATAAAAATCAATTATTTTTTATTTATTTTTAGGACACGTGATCACTTTAACAGTCAAACATAACTATTGACCGCCATGTAAGACAGATCAAACATAACTATTGACCGCCATGTAGGACAGATTGAACGGAATTAGACGGCGAGTGACCAAAGATGATATAAAAGTGTAGTATCGATGGCTGACTTGAAGGATTTTTTATTCGGATGGCTAAAGTGTTACAAATGAATAATATGGGTGACCAAACTTGCAATTCACCCCATATAAATTTATACAGTGAATGGTTCTGTGTAAGTAAACTGGCAACTAAATCCAGAAAAGTGACTCATTCAGTTGGCGAGTTAAAAACATGTCTCTCTCCTCCCTCTCTAACGGAACTTTTCTCTGAACCTTCCAACGGTTCCTTTTCCGTCCCCAGTGCTGGGACTTATCCAGCTCTTGCCGAGAGCAAACAGAAGATCATTAAAGCAAATGGGAAAGATCATCCTAGTATTAATGGCGTACAAGCAGAGGGAAGAGACAGAAGTGCAGCAACAATAAAGAGGCTGAAGAAGATTGGACAAGTCAGGGGAAGCTCTACAATAACTATAAGGAAAGGATGGATTTGGAAGCCACCAGACTGGAGATCGGCTCTTCATAGTCAGATCAAACAGAGGATAAGGGAGGTACGAACGAACAGGAGAGTGGGGAGGGTGCAGCCTGTAACCTACAGACCTGATTTGGGACAGAGTGAAGAGAACATCGAGCCAAGAGCTGCTGTTGAGGAAGACATAAAGCAGAACAGGGGAAGATTTAGTCAACAGAGGCTTTATGAAGCTCTTGAAAAGAAAGATTGCTACCAAGATTCGGGGGGAGTTACTGCTACCTCACTTAGAGGAAGAGCTTATAAGAAAGAAGAAAGCAGAAAGAAGGAAATCCCTACCCCTGTTCCTGCAGAAAGAAATCCTCTCCTCCTCTTACCAACTCTGCTCACCCCCAAAAACCTCCCAACATCTAGACTCCTCAAAAAACAAGGCAAAAGAATCAGGATGGACATCAATGACCTGACCGAGAGGGCTGGCCGATTGAGCACCGAACGCAGCAGTCCCTTTTCAGCAGGAGGAAGAGGCCCTCGCCCACAACTGACTACAAACAATGGCAGGGGAATTTCAATGCTCCTGGGGAAGATGCTCACCGAGAACAAGGTAGCATTGGCAAAGGCTTCAGGGGCGGCTAGATATGCCTGGGGGAAATTCGGGGAAGTGGGAGTTCAGCCAACTCAAGCACAAAATCTATTCATCTTTACCTTCAAAGATGCCAAGATCCGTGAGAAAATCTGGCTTGAAAGACCATGGAGTATGTCCAACACTATGACGGCTTTGTCAAAATATGAGGGCAGAGGAGATCCGGAAGCAGTCCCATGAACAAACTTGCGGTTTGGGTGCAGATTCATGGTCTCCACCAGAGTCAGAGAAGTGAGCAGAATGTATTATCAATAGGGACTTTCTACTTCAGCAAGTTCATTGACATGGACAGAGCCAGCCTCCATTTCCACGGCTATAGAAGATTCATTCGGATGCTAGTCGAGATTGAGGTTAGTGAATCAGTCCCGACGGGCTTCGACTTTCCCTCCAAGGATGAAGTAACTGGTCGAGAGTACTGTGAAGTGATCACTTTCAAATATGAGAGACTCGTCGAACTTTGCTATTTTTGTGGGAGAATCGGTCACAACTGGCCGACATGTACAAGAATGAAAGAAGAGAGGAAGAAGGGAGGCCAGGTCAAGCTCTCCGACATCTACACTTCTGAGCTGAAGGCAGGGATCCATTCCCCCTACAAATCAAGCGGGACCAGAAGCAGGATTGAAGAAGAGCCTTGGTGTCCATCCACCGACCCTGAAGCCTGGAGGGACCATTACAGCTCGGGGGGATTAATCGATGGCAGAGAGACGATGGTGGCGGCAGAGTTCACATCGGCAAGAAGAGAGGAAGAAGCTCAACCCCAAGTCCCACCGGGATTCACTGTTCTCCGGCTGGAGGAGGAAGCAAGGGCGGAAGAAGGGAATAATCGGTGGAGGATGAAGGGGAAATACAGGGAGGATATGGGGGCAAGAAATTTGGAACTGGATTTGGAGGAAGCATCGGCGGCAATGCAGGGGAGTCTGAGTCTCGACGGAGGGAAAGAGACGCAGCGGCAGGCAGGAGGATACAAATGGGAGCCCAACTGTCACTTGGGCCTAGAAACCCTACCCCACAGGCCTGCCCAAGAACTGACATGGAGCCCAGGCCACTCAACACTCAGTCCCAGAGCCCATACCAACACATTCAAGGGGAGCTGGAAGGAGATATGGGCCGAAATTATAAAAAAAAGAAAGGGCCAATCTATTCTAAGCCCAGGAGAAACGGGCCAGAGGGTTAATGAAGGGTCTGGTTTTACTTTGAGCCCATCTAGCTCTATGTTTGCAGGAGGAGTGAAAGGAAGGAGTAAGAAGAAGAAGCACCAAAGAAACAAAGCTCAATCGACAAGTGAAGACATAGGGGATGGAGAAGAAAGCGACACAAGGGCAGCGGTGGTTCGCCAAAAGCCACCTCACGATCCATGAGTATTGTAAGTTGGAATTGTAGGGGATTTGGCCAATCCCTTATGAGAAGTTATGCTAAGCGTCTTATTCGACGTCATGGCCCTTCTATTGTCTTCCTTATGGAAACTAGCAACAACGAAGAATTCATGGAAGAACATAGGAGAAGTCTTAGAGTTTTCCCCAATAAAGAGTATGTCGAACCGATCAACTCTTCTAGGGGCTTCGCTTTATGGTGGAAGGAAGGGATTAGTATTAATGTAATCAGTAGTGATAAGTATTATATGGATGTTAGCATCGACATGGGGAAGAAATTCTTATGTACTTTTGTCCATGCCCCGACTACGATTGTTGGTAGAAGGGAGTTTTGGGAGCACTTAAGTTCTCTTCGGAGTAGTAGAGATGATAGTTGGGTCATCGTAGGGGATTTTAATGCTGCTATTTATGAATATGAAAAGGAAGGGAGGTGCCCACTTAGGTATGATAATGTGGAACATTTCAAAAGGTTTTTTTTTTTTTACAATGCCCTCATTGACATTGGTTTTAAAGGCAACCCTTTGACCTGGTCCAATAAACGCTCTAGCCCAAATTTGGTTAGAGTTAGATTGGACCGAGTGTTGTGCTCACCATCTTGGAGAGTGATGTTTTGAGAAGCGGTTGTATTCCATGAAAAGATGATGGCTTCTGACCATTGCCCAATCAGAATTGACTTCCACTATCAAGGTAACAGAAGAAGAAGAACACCGTTCAGAGTGGACGAGAGATGGCTGGAAAAAGAGGAATGCAAAGAGATTGTTTTCAGGGAGTGGGATCCAGGAGGGCCATCTGGCAATCAGTTAGACAAATGCGAGAGAGAACTGAAGGCATGGGCGAAAGATTTCCATAAGAATAGCATTCTTAGGGAGAGTGAAATCGGGTCCAGACTTGAGATTCTCCAACAACCACCTCGTACTACAGAAAATGTGGAGGAGGAGGAGAAGATCCTTACGGCAGAATTGACCAGAATTTGGCTTGAGGAGGAAGCATTTTGGAGTCAGTGCTCTAGAGTTTTTTGGCTTAAAAAAGGGGATCAAAACACTTCCTTCTTCCATTCTAGCACTATTCACAGAAAGCATAGAAACAGAATCCTTCGCCTTAAAGATGAGGTGGGAAATTGGATTGAGGATGAGACAGGGCTGAAGGGTTTGTCGGTTGGGTTCTTCAAAGAACTTTTCAAGACTAGAGATACCACTGAGTTTACCCACCTCCTTCAGGGATTCCCAGCGATGGTAACAGGAGAGATGAATGAGGACCTTTGTGCAGCAGTGACTAGGGAAGAGATTAGGAGAGCAGTGTTCTCTCTTGGAGCGAGAAAGGCACCGGGCCCAGACGGGTTTTCGGGTAAATTCTACAGAAGATATTGGGATACTGTGGGGGAAACCCTATGTAGAGAAGTTGAGGATTTCTTTGAATCAGCTAGTATGCCTGAAGGGTGGAATGATACGCACATTGTGATGGTACCAAAGGTGGACCACCCAGAGACAATTGGCCAATTTCGACCTATCAGCTGCTGTAACTTCAGGTACAAAATCATCTCAAAGATTATGGCTATCCGACTGAAAAAATGGACACCCGTTTTGGTCTCTGAGCTCCAGAAAGCATTCACTAGCGGTCGCCTCATCCAAGATAATATCATTATCGTTCATGAAGCTCTTCACCATTTCAAGAATCATAAGCTCGGCAATAGAAGAGATATGATGATGAAGTTGGATATGAAAAAGCTTATGACATGGTGGAGTGGGAATGTCAGGAGACCCTCCTAAGGCGATATGGGTTTGAGGAGAGATGGTGAAAATGGGTCAACACTTGCATCCATACTGTTAGATTCTCGGTTATGTTCAACGGAGAAGCCTCAGAGAGCTTCAGTCCCTCGAGAGGCATTAGACAAGGAGACCCTCTTTCCCCTTTCCTCTTCATCCTTATGTCTAATGTCCTCACGTTCCTGGTTGATAAAGCAGTAATGGAAGAACGAATCAAGGGAATTAAACTCAACTCGAGATGCCCTACTCTCACTCACTGTCTTTTTGCGGATGACACGGTCATATTTGGGAAAGCTAACATCCAGGAGGCTGGAAAAATTGTGGAGGTCATCAACGACTATGGGGCAGTGACAGGTCAAGAAGTCAACGTACATAAATCCTCTATTTTCTTCAGCGCGAATGTTCCAGCGGGAGAGAAGAATGATATCATCAATCACATTGGATTTGCATCCTCCAACTGCCATTCTAAATATCTTGGAGTTCCAACAGAATGGGGAACTTCGAAGAAGGAAACATTCTACTTCCTTATCCAAAGGATGGAAAAGATGGGGGAAGCATGGAAGAGCCTACTTCTTTCACATGGAGGAAAGGAAGTCCTTCTAAAGTCGGTTATCCAGGCCATCCCTACTTTCATCATGTGCCTATTCCTTCTACTAGTTTCCCTGACGAAGAAAATAGATTCTCTCCTTAGCAATTTTTTCTGGTCAGGGTCGATGCAGAAAAGCAACCTCCACTGGTGCAGGAAGGAGATTCTCTGTACCCCAAAATCAGAGGGAGGCTTGGGTTTCCGAAGCTTCAGAGATTTCAATCTGGCCCTGCTGGCCAAACAAGCCTGGAGGCTTATGAACAACACTGATACACTTTGGAGCCGACTCATGAAAGGACTTTATTTCCCTAGAGGCAATTTTCTCTCGGCTAAAAAAGGAAGCAAACCATCTTGGATCTGGGCGAGTCTTTGGGAGTCTGAAAAGGTCATTGATCTAGGAGCTGTTAAAGTTATTGGATCCGGTGATGATACATGGATTGATCAAGATCCGTGGGTTCCCTTCCTTCCCAGAGCATGCATCCAGAGCGGTCCACAAAATCATGCAAGAATAAGTACCTGGATTGACCCGGAAAGCAGAAAATGGAAGGATGAGTTTATACAGGGACAAGTCTCCCCTTCAGAAAGAGATGCTATTTTGAGAGTTCCGATTGGGGAGGAGGAAGCTAAGGATTTCTGGGCGTGGAGATTTAATGAAGATGGAAATTTTACGGTCAAGACAGCGTATCATGCGGTTCACTCGTCAGTAACGGATCCCCAAACGATGGACAATGTGGAGAAATGGAAATGGGTGTGGAGTCTGAATATCCCGCCTAAGCTCAAATTCTTTGTCTGGAGATGTACCAGGAATGGACTGGCAACAAAAGAGAGACTCATGCATAGGAAATGCTCCCCAAATGCCACATGCCAGGTGTGCCAATGGCCGATTGAGTCCCTTTTCCACTGCCTCTTTCAATGTCCCCATGCGAGGGAATCATGAGAAGTTATCTTCCCAAACATCCCGCTGCCAACTCAGTATACTGCTTTCCTTGACTGGTTGTACCTACTTAAGGACTCTATCCAACCAGGAGCCCTCACCCATGTTATTTTCCTCTGCTGGAATATCTGGAAGGCTAGGAATGATTGTGTGTTCAAGAATCGGATCCCTGGCATCCGAACGTTATTTTGCGAACTTACAAGGAATTCACGGAATGGACTAATTGCCCGAGGAGTCCCCCCAATGACTCTCCTTCTACTCAGCTCAGGGGAGCCCAATCACTCAATTCTCCACCGCCAAGCAATCACAATTTTGTGATTCACTGTGATGGGTCGTTTTTAAACGACTCCCAGCCGGCGGCATATGGTGTTGTGGTCACTAACCACCATGGACAAGTGTGTGATGGGCAAGCTGACACTCTCCTTTGTTCCACCCCACTCGAAGCCGAAGCAAAAGCACTTCTGGAAGGTCTCAAATTAGCCCAAGAATATGGAACTGAATGTGTTGTCCAGTCAGACTGTCAGCTGATTGTCAAAGCCCTCTCGGATGAGCCAAGAAATTGGCCTTGGCGTGGTGCATCATGGATTGGATCAATGGTCTCAATCCTAAGAACGAACCCTCAAGTGAAGGTCAAGGCAGTTTCACGAGCTTTTAATGTTAGAGCTGATTGGTTGCACGATCACTTGCTAGATCCTCTCTCCCTGATGACTGGATTAGTATTCTTGACCCAATTTCGGATTTCCTTTGATTAAGTGTAATCTCGCTTTTTTCGAGTTGGAAGTGGAATAAAAGGTAGAACATTTATTGTAAAAAAAAAATGGTTCTGTGTAAGTAAATATTGTTTGCAACATGTCATCATCCATCTGTTAGTTTAGTTATCTATAAAAATTTAATTTTGGAAAAGAAAGGCAGAAAGCATTCAAGCATGGAAGTGGGAAGTTCGTCGTAGAAAAGCAAAGGGTAGAACTAGAAGAAGCCTTGAAAGAAGATAAAATTAAGCCATACTAGTTAATTAATTAACATTTAATATCATTAACTCTGAATTAATTAGTAATTATAAGATGAGGAAGAAACAGAAGAAAGCTCCAGGGACACGCCACAATCCAGCAGCTCCGCTATCATCTGCTCTACCATAATCTGCTCATCCTCGTCAACAACAAACCCATTTTGCTTCGCCTCCTGATCATTGGCCATCTCAAAACTCCCTCCGGCCACCGTTTCCGCCGCCGCAGCTTCCCCGCCGCCGACGCAGCATTGCGCTTCTTCTCTCCATCGATGTTCCTGCGAGTACAGAATCGTATCTTCCATCTTCACTGCACCAGTTTTAGTCGTAGCAGTAGTAGTTTTATTAGTAGCAGTGATTTTGTTGGAGGCGATTCCTCGGAGGGAGGCCATGTGGCATTTGTGTAGCTTGGCGGCGAGGGTCCCGGAGAGGAGCCTGGAAGAAGACGACTGGGCTTGGGCCGGGCTGTAAGGGAAATTGGTCCGGGCTTTCGGCCCACACATCAGCCGGGCCGCTTCGTCGTACGCTCGGGCCGCGTCCTCCGCCGTCTCGAACGTCCCCAGCCATATTCTCGTCTTACTGGTTGTAAGAAAACACAAACAACCAACGTGCACTTTTCAATTTTCATGAATAATAACAACGAAGAGGAAGGAAGGAATTAAAAAGAGAGAGAGAGAGACAAGAATGAGAAGGAGAATTACATACAGAAGCGGGTGGCGAATTTCGGAGACCCAGGAGCCCCAATGCCGCTGACGGACGCCACGGTATCTCTGTTGCTGTTGCTGTCTGGTAGCCATGGCCGGAATGTGAAACCTCCGACGAAACGTTTCGGACTTGTGAGGTGGGGAAGGAACTTTTTTTTAAGCTTCAGTGAGAAGTGAGAGAGAGTGGGAAGGGGAAGGGGGAGAAGAGTTGGGAGAGGCAGTGGGCTTTTTTATAACGGCTGGGTTTTGGCCTTTGCGGCCTTCTTCTTCTTCTTTCGTTCTTCGCCTTTCAATGTAGCAAAACGGTAAAGGGTCCCACTTCTTCTATTCTTTGTTCCCTCTCTTCTGCATCTTTTTACTTTCGTTTTTTCCATCTTCTTTTGACAAATCGTCAATTAAGCATGTGAGGATGATTAGGTAGTGCTTAGCTGAATGATACAACCCAAATTATAAAAGAGAGATTCTCGTTTAGATTTTTAGCTGAATTAAATTCACAAACGATTGTAATTAAAAAGAAAGGGAACTAGATCCAAGAAATCCAAAAGTGTAAGCAAAGTGCAATGTTATCTTAGGCCTCGCAGATGGATCAAATGAAGACATGTCGAACAATAGCATAATGTGGTGGCTCAATATCAACAGTTGTTCATGTCGTTTTAATATCGCTTTCCCAAAATCAAGATGAACGATAAAATAAGATAAGATAAAATCGCATTCATATGTCAAAAATATGCTACCACGGTAATAGTATCTTGACATTCATGGTAGCCAAATTCTCCATTTAAATCGTAATGTTAACTGCATTATTGACATCTGTTATAAACGCGCTGCTACGGATCGGGAAATCGCCGGAATCGATAAAGCAAGAACACGAAAGCGAGAATCGAAAAAAACACACACACGATTTACGTGGTTCACTAACACGATGTGTGTTAGCTACGTCCACGGGCGAGAGAGAGCCAGTTTCACTATATCAAGGAGATTTCAGATTACAGAGGAGAATGAGAAGTATTTATAGTACTTCTCCATGTGGGTCTAAACCTAATCCATTCTGGCAAAGGAAACGGTTACAGACCAGGCCCAGAACCCGAACCCAAATAACATTGAGCCCATACACCATGGGCCGGGGGCGTTGCCCCCGCACCCCCACCGAGGCATTGCCCCTGGACCCCACTCGCTGACCGGGCAGCGAGACCCCCGATTACCAATCGTAGCGGCTGATAGTCTGATTCAAGTCACATCAACAAATCTCCACCTTGACTTGAATCCTCTTCCTCTGAAATCTCTGATGTACTCTGCTCCTTCTATCTCTCTCCCGCCATCAATGCCCCGCAGGGCGGAGTCATCCACTCAAGACATTCAGCAAGTCCAAGCAGTGTTCGAACTTGCCATGTGGAACTGGCTTCGTGAACATATCACCAGGATTATCCGCGGTGCCAACCTTCTTCACCTTAATCCTCTTCTCTGTCCTCAAGAAATGATACCTCACATCGATGTGCTTAGTCCTCTCATGGTGGACTTGATCCTTGGCCAAGCATATTGCACTTAAACTGTCGCAATACACCACTGCCTGATCATGATGTAGACCCAGATCACCAACCAGTCCCTTCAACCATATTCCCTCCTTAGCAGCTTCTGTCAACGCCATATACTCTGCCTCAGTAGTAGACAATGCCACCGCCGACTGCAAAGTTGCCTTCCATCTCACTACAGAACTCCCAAGAGTGAATACATAACCGGTCATCGATCTCCTCGTGTCAACATCTCCAGCATAGTCCGAGTCAGAATACCCAGACACCAAGCACTCTGTATCACTTGCGAAGCTAATTCCCACATCAGGTGTACCCTTAAGGTACCGGAAGATCCTCTTCACAGCCTGCCAATGCTCCTTCCCAGGTTGTATCATAAACCTGCTGACAACACTAACATCATGTGCAAGATCAGGTCTAGTGCATACCATAGCGTACATCAAGCTACCTACTGCACTAGCATATGGGACTCTCGACATGTACTCCTTCTCAGCCTCTGACTGCGGTGCATAAGTTGAGGATAGATGAACATTTGAAGCACTATGAGTATTTAAGGGCTTTGCTAAAGACATGCCAAACCTCGACAGTATCTTCTGGATGTAGCTCTACTGTGATAAGAAAAGCTTCTTCTTTGACTTGTCCCTGTAAATCTCCATACCCAAGATCTTCTGAGCAGCTCCCAAATCCTTCATCTCAAACTCACCATTGAGAAGCCCCTTTAACTTCTGGATATCAGACTTTGACCTCGCAGCTATGAGCATATCATCCACATACAGAACTAGATATATCATCGAACCATTTGTAACAATCTTCCTTCCCTGTGGTCGTTTGACTAGCTCCCAAGTCTGATTCCTGTCATGGGATTCCATCTCATCTCCCATTGCGGCAAGCCACTGATCAGCTTCGCCACCCGAAACGGCTTCTCTATAGGACTGTGGCTCACCTGCATCCACTTCTTCAGCAACCTGAAATGAATACGCCACCATGTCCTCGAAACCATACCTCTCCGGAGGTACTCCTGCAGTCGCTCTCTTTGGTCTACCGGAAGCTATAGACTGTTGAGCTCGTGCACTGGACTCTGAAGTTTCTAGCTCTGCAGAGACATCCTCATCATGTTGATCTTCTCCACTTTGGTGCTCAAACTCACTCTCTTTGAGAGTTTGCAGCTCCACCTGCTTATAAATATTGCTGCTACCTTCAACAACAGTAACCTTCAACATGGGGTTAAACATAGACTTCTCATCAAATATCACATTTCTACTGAGTATAACTCGATGCTCAGAAGGTGACCAGACTCGAAATCCCTTAACTCCATCTCCGTAACCCACAAATACACCCTTCTTTGCCCTTGGGTTCAGTTTACCCTCATCCACATGATAATAAACAGGACACCCAAAAACTTTTAGTGAGGAGTAATCAGCAGGCTTACCATACCACACCTCATAAGGAGTCTTCAACTCGATACCTGTGTGAGGTCCACGGTTGATCAGGAAGCACTCCATGTTCACTGCTTCTGCCCAGAATCTTCTCTCTAGTCCAGCATTAGAGAGCATGCACCGTGCTCTCTCCAACAATGTCTGGTTCATCCTTTCTGCAATGCCATTCTGCTGGGGTGTATCTCTCACAGTCCGATGATGGGCAATCCCTTCATCCTTGCAGAATTCGTTGAACTCAGAATTACAGAACTCCAGACCATTGTCCGTTCACAGCTTCTTGATCTTCTTCCCGGTCTGATTCTCCACCAATGTCTTCCACTGCTTGAACTTCATGAAAGCCTCACTTTTCTGCTTCATCATGAAAATCCAAGTAAATCTCGAATAATCATCAATAATAGACAGAAAATACCTGCTGCCTCCAATGGATTCAACTCGTGAAGGACCCCAACAGTCGCAGTGGAGGTAATCTAGTATCCCCTTCGTCCGGTGGATACCCTTCTTGGGAAACTTGCTGCGATGTAGCTTCCCAAACACACAATGCTCGCAGAATTCCAAATTCTGCATCTTGTGCCCGCAAAGAAGATCCCTCTTCGACAGAACTTGCATCACCCGTTCACTCATATGCCCCAGTCTCATGTGCCAGAGAGTGGTCATATCTTCCTGATGAACCTGAGACGATGCAACTGCAGCAGAACCAGACATCACAGACCCTTGCAACACATACAAGGTCCCACGCTTCACGCCCTTCAGCACCTTCATTGAACCTTTGCAGACATACACAACTCCACCTTTTCCTTTGAAACTGAAACCCTTGCTGTCGAGTAGACTCAAGGAGATCAGGTTCTTTGTCATTCGTGGAACATGCCTGACATCATTCACGATACAGAATGAACCATCATGTGTCCGAACCTTTATGGACCCGATTCCAACAACCTTGCAGACAGCTCCATTAGCCATGACCACGTTACCAGCATCTATCTGCTCGTCGGTTGTGAAGCAATCCCTGTTCGGAGACATATGGTATGAGGCTGCAGTATCCAGAAATCACACATCCCCACGATGTGCCTTCTCATCTACAGCCAAGGCGAGATCGTCTTCAGAACTGTTGTCCACTTCTGCCACGGCAACTGAACCTTGTTTCTTCTGTTGCCCTCTTCTCTTGGGACAGTTGTACTTCCAATGCCCCACTTCCTTACAGTTGTGACAAGCATCACCTGGCTGTGGACCGGGACCCTTGGAATTCTTGTTCAAATTCCCTTTACCAGATTTCTTCTTTCCCTTTCCACCTGTAACAGCCAAACCCGATGCCTCACCACCTGTACCAGATCCAGACGCCTTATGCCTGATCTCCCTCGTATGAAGAGCAGACCTGACATCCTCCAACGACACGCTTTCTTTACTAGCAATAAAAGAATCAACGAAATTCTCATATGAACTCGACAAAGAAACCAGTAGGATTAGGGAAGCATCCTCGTCATCAACTTGAACATCTATATTACGCAGATCCAGCAAAATAGAGTTAAGTTGTTCGAGATGTTCCCTCAAAGGCGTACCTTCTTGCATCCTCAAGCTGAACAACCGTTGCTTGAGATGCAGCTTGTTGGTTAGAGACTTAGTCATGTACAGACTCTCTAGTTTCAACCACAAGCCCGCGGCAGTCTTCTCAGCAGCGACTTCAATGATGACGTCATCAGACAACGATAGCATGATGGTCGAGTGAGCCTTCTCCTCCAGGGTATTCCACTCATCGTCATCGACCGATGCCTTCTTCTGTTTCGCAGACAGCGGCCCCCACAGCCCTTGCTGTTTCAATAAAGCCTGCATCTTGATCTGCCATATAGCGAAGCTGTTCTTCCCCGTGAACTTTTTGATCTTCATGTTCACCGACATCATTCTTCTGAATCGAAAACCCTAGCCTGATTTCCAGTCGCGGCTCTGATACCACTTGTTATAAACGCGCTGCTACGGATCGGGAAATTGCCGGAATCGATAAAGCAAGAACACGAAAGCGAGAATAAAAAAAAACACACACACCATTTACGTGGTTCACTAACACGATGTGTGTTAGCTACGTCCACGGGCGAGAGAGAGCCAGTTTCACTATATCAAGGAGATTTCAGAATACAGAGGAGAATGAGAAGTATTTATAGTACTTCTTCATGTGGGTCTAAACCTAATCCAATCTGGCAAAGGAAACGGTTACAGACCAGGCCCAGAACCCGAACCCAAATAACATTG